TAAGAGGTGTTAACCAAATGACTTAATTTAGTAGACTGTCCTAAGTTTCTTTGTGAATGTTATTAAATCATCGGGCCGGCTTGGCTCCGCCGAATTCTATTGATTTTTATACGAATACGGGCTTCTATCATATGACGTTAAATAGTTATTGCGTATAAAAGGTTTAGAAAGAAAAGAAAGAAAGAAAGAAAAATAAATATATTTGAGACAACACACACACAACAAACAGAACAAAACACACATATTTTTTTTTGCCTCAAATCGGTCCCGACTCAGCATGTGCTGATGTTGCCATCAGCGCTGGTCTTCCGTTGGAACCGGTTTAGTGACGACACGAAACAATAACATTAACAAGTAATAAAATAAACATAACAAAAAAAAAACAAAACAACAACAATGTGAGTTCAGGGGGGCGCCACTATCGCCATGTCAAAATTGGTTGCACCCGGAGCACAGGTTCCGAACGCGGCCCCGACTGACATTGCCATTCAGAGACAATCTTAGTAATCTGTGTATTGTACTTCTGATTATTTTTTCTTTTTTCTTTATAAAATGTTATCTACAATTTAGACAATTTACAAAAATTTAAATTTTTTAGTACCAGACGAACGAAAAGAACAATTTACATACAAGACATATCTTCTGATAAAATATTAAATACCTATAAAATAAACAAATTTCGGATACACATGTAAGTTGAACATCTCCTCACAATCTTTAAATTGCACTAGTATCATGTAAGAGTGTTTCCTCTGATTTTTGATGCATATTAAGTAAATTGCGTAATTTTTTTCTAAATAATTTGACATTTTGCAGGTCCCTAATTGGTGGAGGTATATTATTCCAGCATCTGGTTGCTGCATAGCGGAAATATGATTATAGTTGATGTTTACTACACTGTTTCCTCGAAGCAACGGTCACATACTATTTTTCAATTTAAATGCAACCTTACTTCTTTGAATCTAAATTTCGGTTACTATATTCTGTGTCTGCATAAATGTTCTTTGCTTCAAGCGCTTCAGTTTCATAATGAAATAGCCATTTCCTTTTATTGTTATTGATAGTTATTTATGGAATTTTTGCGGAGGACAAAAGATCTTGAATCATGATGAAAATGTCCGCCGAGGACTTGTCACGGACACTTGCGTACTTTTGTCCTGTCAGGTCTCTTCTTCTTCTGAACGGTGGGTGTTTTCTGCAATTCGAAACCAGGTGCCTATTTTACGTAAGAGGATGGCCTTAGTCATGCCATCCCAAATCCCCCAAGAAGCTCAGCTGTCTCTTGGGAGACACCAAGAGTAGCATTCCTCGAGTAGCGTCTGCGGGCTGCCCAGGTGTGACATCCGATGTCTGGTCACGCCTCTGCGCTGTAGCAAGACGTGAGTGCTTGTCTCCTCTTCCTCCAGTCCTCTGTGCAGGCCCTGCACAGAGGACTGTCCGAGACACCTATTTCAAAAAAATGTTTTTTTAAAGTGTCCGTGTCCTGTGAGAATGCTCACTATTTGTTTCAAAGCATGTCTTGGTAACTTGCAAAACTTACTTGCTAGCCGTGGGTCTACCTTAGGTATGGCCTCCCTGGCGTGCCTGCAGTCTGCAAGTTTAGCCCAGTATTCGTTATGTTGTCTCAGGTATCTTTCCTAATCCAGCCTCGCAGCAGTCGGTATGGAATCGGTACGATTGGTTCTGGGCCAAATACCACAGTGTCCGATCCTCTCCTGGCCAGACCTGTCCGGTCTCTTAGTGTTCTTGGTTGTTCGTGGAACTTTTTGTACGCGGTACTTTTGATCCGTCGTGTGCGTTACTCGATCCAGCTGTTGGCGATCTATTTTGGCGAACAAAAAATACGGCGGACCAAAGTCCCTTGTCTGCGTAGGCATACTGTAAAAGTTCTGAAACTTAACCATCTCAATGGACCCCATGGACAGTAGCGTTGGGTCCGCTGGTATTGGATCAAGCTTTTGTTTGTTGTATATGTCGCAGTAAAAAAGATAAATCCGTTATACGTATAGTTATATTCTTAGGAATATTATATACCGTAACATAACTATACGAAAGCGTTTCATTACTATCTTCGTTTAACAGAGTGTCTGGCATGTGCAGTGCTTTTCATGACAAAAGTCGTCTCGTAGTTTAAGGAAATTAGGCATTTTAGCTATAATACTTTGTAAACAACAAACAAAAGCTTGATTCATACATAAAGCTTGATACCAGAAGACCCAACGCTACTGTATATGGGGTTTGTTAAGATTGTCACATCATTTCAGAACACACTGCCAATATCTAGAGGTCAGATGAGCAGCCTTGACAAAACGTTATTTTTGTAACATTTTGCGTTACTTTTAACCCTTCACGTTACCTGACTCAAAATATTACTTTATAGTTACTTTTAAATTGAAATAAAATATTAATTATTTTTCACTTACTTCATGCCAAATTCAGTTTATCTGAAAACGTTAAGAAGACACTCCGATAGGTGTGACAACAACACAATAAGTGAAAATTCTATAAGAAATTTTGAACCTTTAATCTTTCTAGGGTTGAACATCTATTTTGATTCGAGAATTTTGACAGTTTTGTATAGCTTTAGAGCTATATGGTAGTCGGCGAGTGCCCTTATATTTATTGTCGTTTTTAAATTACCATTGATTATTACAAAAAAAAAACAGACCACCCACTTATAACAAAACCACTAAAACTGAATAAATAGTAAGCTATTCTTTTCTCAAGTCTAATCCGAATGTAAATTAAAATCGTTAATAGGTATTGGAACACATAAAATAATTAATAAAAAAAAACAAATTAATAATATAATAAAAGAGTTGTAATATATTTGTTATTCCTGGATTAAACACAGACGTCCTAACAACGACAGCGCACACAACTAAGACATAGCTGCTAGATCAAATTACTTCTAGTATAAATTGCTACACTTCTTTTGTTAATATGTCTCTGAAGTTTTGATATTTAGAGCAATTTAATCAGAAAATATTGATTTTTCTCAGATTTCGACGGGTCATGACACGTACCTAGATGCTATCTATCGCTGTACAGGTGATTGCTCTCCGAATGGACACTTCTCGACTTGAAGCGAAGAATTTGAGATTTATGCATATAAATGACATAGTTTTACAATGTGCTCATAAATACCTTCAATTTGATATCCATACTAATATAAATAAAACAAAAGCAAATATTACTGGCATTATTAACATCAAATTAATAAAACTAAAGCCGAGTCTGCAGCGCATGTCTTGGTCTACACAATCAACAAAAACGTATCAACATTCAACAAAATCGTCTACACAAAACTTATTTCACAACACATGTTTGTTTGTTATGAGCCCGATGGAAAACACGTACACAAATCACCCCCGCGAGGGGCAGGGTATTGTTTCATCGCTCATTTTCAACCACTCCATGCCATACTCTAAAAAATTGACGCATTTTTTAAAGTACGTGACATGGTTCTAGTTACTATATTAATTTCTCGAGATGAAATTGTTTGCTTTCGGACGGGATGACTTCAAATTGTTGTCTTCACTGTTTTGATCGTCTTCTTCGTAAGAACACTACTTGGGTGACCAGATCTTTTTCTGTCACAAACAAAGGAGGTTCCATTTTACATAAACATTCGACTAATACCAAGCGGCTGAAGAATTTAAATATCTCATTTGTCTCCATACCTACTTTATTTAATGATATTGCAGCAATTCTGTTCTCTTTATCACCCCACTCTAAACATATAGCACGAAAATATTTAACACCGATTGGCACTAAAATGAAAAAAAGAAACAATGAAATGAAATATTAGAATGACAGATTCCAAATTCAGTCATTAATAGCGTTTGGTCAGAAATATAATTAGAATTTGGTCTACGATAGTGGAATTTTGTCTTCGATTCGATCGTTAAATAACTTTCGCAATGGCTGCTCATGGGAAGGGTGATCACGTTAAGCTGTTGGTCCCGGCTGTACTTGCAGATTGTTAGCATCCACCAATCATCCGCGCTATGCCTTTGTGGTGGGTCAAAACCAACGTTCCATATTCCATCTTTAAACATGTGGCTCAGTAACTGGTACATTGATTGGCTGATGATGAAAGGCGGTTGAATTTATTTGGTCAGGTTTCATGACCAAGGATTCAGCGGTTAAAATTGACTGTACCGTCAAAGGAACAGCCTCAAGGGTACACAGGAAAGAGTGGCATGAAGAAGTAACTGGCGGGGGGCCGTTCGCCTAACGGGATTGCTTTGGATATCTCTATCGCTTAGATTTCATTTTGTTATTTCTGGCCGCCTGAGGTTTTCAAATGCTTCGTACTCTTCTTTTTTCTTTTGCATTGGTAATAACAATATTAAAGAAAATGAGCGTGAGGTATTTAGAAACCTTCGGTGGTCAAAAATATCATAATGAAATGTAAGCGATAGCGATAGCCATAGCATTCGCGTTTGGCGAACGGTCCCTTGCAAGATGCTTCTTCACGCCTCTTTTTCCTATGTAACCAAATAAATTGAACCATTTTTCATCATCAGCCAATCAATGTACCAGTTACTGAGGCACATGTCTAAAGATGCATAGCAATCCCGTTAGGCGATTGGACCCAGGGGGCCATTCGCCTAACGGAAATGCTTTGGAAAACGCTAACGCTTTCTATTTCATTTTGTTATTTCTGACCGCCGAAGGTTATCAGATACCTCACGCTCATTTTCTTTAATATTGTTTTTACCAATGCAAAAGAAAAAAAAAGATCGCGAGGCATTTGAAAACCTCAGGCGGCTAGAAATAATAAAACGAAATCGTAAGCGTTAGCGTTTTCCAAAGCATTTCCGTTAGGCGAATGGCCCCCAGGTCGGCAAGGTAAAACTTCTGCACCAGATATCTTAGACTGTGCACTCCACCATCACTTAACATCAGATGGGGTGAAGTCATTTGTCGGAACCTTATATTAAAAGAAAGGTACCTATATTGTTTGTGATGTAAAAATACCACGTTGTCCGCAGGAGTACGCGCGGCGCCGCTGTGGGACTCACAGAGGCAGCGCTTCGTGGGCATGCTCACGATCACGGACTTCATCAAGATCCTGCAGATGTACTACACCAGCCCCAACGTGGCGATGGAGGAGTTGGAGGAGCACCGCCTTGAGACTTGGCGTCGTAAGTCGTCAAATATTAGTTCGACCGACATTACTATCTGGCGCCTGTGACTTCAGGAACTTAACTTAACATTCTTCCGGGATAAAACGTATCTACGGGTCGATTTAGTTGATAAATAATTATAAATGCCAAATTTCATCCAAATCCATTCAGCTATTTTAGCGTGAAAAAGTAACAAACATCCTAACAAAGTTTCGCATTTATAATTATTAGGAATATAATTAGAAGGAAGTATATCTGAGTAAATTATACACAGGGTATAGGTAGCGGCAAACTTCTTGAGCAAAACCACAGACAAATAAATTAGCGCAGTAGACATTTTTGTGTGAAAAATTGCTACTGCGCAGGCGTCCTTGTCTATGGTCGTTGCTCAAGAATTTTGCCGAGTGTATACGCGTACAAATAAACAAAAAGATAATATTTATTGCGAAAGTTCACCAACTTTTGCAATATCTTCTCATAGGATGAGTGACTAAAATATTAATTACATCCGAAACATTGAGAGAGTGTTTGGGAAAGCATGTTAGCCATTGTCCTTGACTGCATCTGCAGTCGTCAGCACCTGTTCGCTCTGGGCACTGGATTGGCGGTGTGGCACAGGTCTTCCTGTGCAACTCAACAATAGGGTAACTTAATAAGGTGTAGGAATAATAATAATTAAGTTACATGAAAAGAAAAGGAAATTAGCTTGATTTAAAATGTAGCGTGCAGGTCTATATTATAAGTAGATAATTAAATTATGTAACGAGGTGAATGATATTCTAAGTAAGGGAGGATTTCGACTTCCAAACTGGTCTAACAAGGAAGAAGTATCTCCTGTATTTAAATAACTTGATTTTCTTGCGTTATACATGTAATGCTTTTATTACGAGTAGCAAATAAATTAATATCATCTTAGCCACAACTGAATGAAACAAAAAAATCCAAAACAGTGTTTTATTGTTAATCTTCTAGCAGCATCACATTTTTGATGATGCCATCCACTAGTCTCTGTTCATTGAATGACAAATGGCATTTGAGTGATATTAACAAAACACGGTGTAACTAGTCTAACTTATTCCTCGTTTATTAATATCGGGGTAAAACGCCGATCATGGGATTTTCTGGGGTTTCCGTTTAACATTATCTTTCCCGATGGATAGCCGAATTCATTTGTCAAATTATTTTGTTTTGTCTGTGTGCGTGTCGCGTTAGTATAGAAGTTTAGTTGTATGAGTTCGGAACCATGCTTAAGCGGCCTATATTGGAGAGGAATGCTTCCATATTATTTCTAATTCGTTGATGTTAACTTTATTATTTCCTATGTTTGTATGTATTTTTTTTGCAGAGGTGCTGAAAGGTTCGGTGATGCCGTTGGTCTCGATTGGACCAGACTCGTCCTTGTACGACGCCATCCGTATCCTTATCACGAACAGAGTGCACCGCCTGCCGGTCATCGACCCTGAAACTGGCAACGTGCTCTACATACTCACACACAAGCGGATACTGCGCTTCTTATTCTTATACGTAAGTTAAACAACATAAAATGAAACTAAATGTATATAATAAAATGTTAGGACGCTAGGAAGCGAAGCCCACAGTAACGGGGCTAGCGTAAAGCCTAGCACCAAAGCACTTCCATTAGAGACCGCATTACTTAATATTTTGTTCGAAATCGGAATTGCGAAAGTTGTGTAATGCGAGGAGGGGAAGACGTGTTTTGACACATCATTGTGACGTTATGGTCTGATAACAAAGGACAATGTTAAAATTGGCCTAAGAACCAACACCAATTTGGCATTTATGATAATTCTTAGTATATTTTTTGCGACAATTATCAGTATTTAGATTGTGACGGACACTTCTAGTTAAGTAAGCTAAATTAAAAAGTTAAAAAATAATCTAAGACAATAAATACCATTTTATGTGTATAATCTATGGCAGCGCTGCAAATAAAACACTCTTTCTCCGTAATGCCGGCACTTCACTTGGCTATTCGTATTTGCTATTTTAAAACATGGCATCAGTCTGTCATTTTCATTCCTCATTAAGCATGACAAGGACAAACTGTTGTCAAGTGAAGGGCCGGCATAAAACTCGTTACTCTGTGGTTCTGGTGCATGCAGTTTGCATTCGTAGTAATCTGTGGCATTCGTGCATTCTAAACCATTTAAAGTGATCTGTGATTCCAAAGAGTAGTTTAATAAACCGGAAAGTGCGTTCTCGTTTCGTATTACCTGTTGTATTTGTTTATTTGCGATTGTTTTTCCTTTAATTTAACTATTACCAAGTGCTAGTGAACCTGTGCCACAACATCCTGAGAGGATCATACTGCCAAATTATTCAAGAACACCTGATAAACATTCACGCTGCATATTTACACAATAGCTACGTGATGAATATATGTGATATACAAATAAATACAATAAACAATGTGATACAACTATGTGAAAAATAGTCAGTAAATAAGAAGCAAAACTACAGTTTTTATTTTATTCGTGATTCCTACCTAACCAAATTTCTCCTAATAGTTATTCTTTAAAATCGCACCGAATAAAATGAATTAACTAGGTGTAATATTAATTCACTTCATACTGAGTTTATACTAAATTCATAGGTTGACCTATGTTTCATTGAATATTAAAAATAACCTCAAAAAAAATTTAGTTTTCCTAATAAATAATTGAAGTTCTCAGAAGTGTCCGTCAATAATCTTTGTTTTTACAGTCATTTACTTACGATTTTGAACCTAGAAAATAATATTTCATGATTGTTGGTTCTTAGGCGAACTATGTATGGACGCTGAACAATGTCCTTTGGTAAAAAAATGTATGGCGACATTTGGCGGAATATGTTACGCTTATGCAGTATTGCAGTACAAGCTTGGCAATAGTGGGCGCCCTTATATGCGTTTCTTGTAGGGATGCTCCATGAGCCCAGCTTACGGAAGGCGCTTAGACCATCGCTGCGCTCATCGCTAAACCAAAAGTCGTGGACAGGCAGAAACACTCAATATAACGTTACTTAAAATTAAAAAGAATAGAGATTTTTTTGTGAAAATGTAATTAATTCGGACTCAGAATAAATCAGAAATTTAATATGTAGTTTGAATAAAACTGGGAGAAGGAGTGGGAAGTGCAGGGAGAGGAAATAACAAATTGCTGCTTGCTGTCTGCCTCTGCACTTGTGACTCTTCGTGCAGTGCCTTTTTTGTAATTTGACAGTTTCCTTTTCTACCAAATTTAGAAGCCTCGTAAGGGATTTAGGAAATTTTTCAGATTTTAGACTGCATCTTTCACAAATTTAGGCCCACAAGAAGAAAAATTTTAAAATAGAATTTAAAAGCTTATCAAGTTTTAATATCTTTCTATCTTTAAATGACTTCAAACAATGGACGAAGGTAGAGTCACAAAATAGACATAACAGAAGGCAATTTACATACAAAGTGCACTCGAGCAACGCACACAAAGACACCGCTCACGGACACGATATCTCAAACGAGAACATTTTTTTTGCAAAAATGTAGGAACAAGGAACAAGTTAAGTAGACGATAGTTTGAATTCAACATTAAGCGGTGAATTGTCATTTTTATTAATTTGTAATATAAAAACAACATTGAAATATTTTAGTTATTATTGGTTTATATTTCTGTTCTTTCTGTTTCATTCTTGACAATAAATCAAACAACTAGATACTAGTGCCACTACCGCGATATTTTTTTGTGCATAAGCCAATGTTTGACAATACTAGCGCGACGGCCGAGAGTAGGTATGCAAAGTGAAATACATACATGATATTACCTTCTGTAATAGTATATTTCATTACTAGTACGGAATGGTTGTCATTGCAAAGAGTTCCGACAAATGTCTACCCGAGCCGAAGGCGAGGGTTGACAGTCGGAACGAGTTGCAATGACGGTTCCGTACGTGTACTGAACGACTATTTTTAATACAGTTGCGAAAAAATGAAGCAATTTAATCAAATTATAAAAACACAATAAACTCAATTAACTAATCATTTATTTCTTATAAAATTTATAATTCACATATACATTGAAATTGGTACAGTTTTTTATACTAACTGGGGAAGTTTTACGTTGCATATTTACTGTTTGAGACAAACTATTATTAATTTCGTATGATTGTTCATGTATATTTGTCATACAATGGCGTTTGCTAGTTGATGGAATTGGATCTGATGAATTATCATTATCAACGAAGGTACTCGTAGATGGACGAACGTTCTCTTCAGCATGTGAAGGAGACGGACTGGACCTTAAATTAATGGATTGTGTGATCTTTTTCCCAGTTTCTAGTTTGTTGTTTAATGAATCACCAATATAGCTTTCTGCAACTTTGTCCGATTTCCAACCACCTAGTCGCTTTAATGTAGCAGGGGTCCTTCTGAAGCTGTGCCCAGTATAACACTCAGCATCCGGCAGACCAAGAAACGTAGCTATTTCTTTTGGCATATTACCAAATTTGTTTATGCCTGGTTCATATATTTTTTCACTATTGTGAGAAAATCTCCTTCAACAACAAAGCTTCGCGGTATCTTATTTTTTGTGTTTGGAATCTTGATAAGCAGCATTTCTCCATGGGCTTCAATATCTTTTAAAGTAATATTGGCTAACTCCTCTCTGCGGCAAGCTCCAACAACGCCAAAAATCATAAATCATATAAATAATGTATTGACTGTATTTTGCGATTTTGTAAACTGAACACTAAAGAAAAATGTAGATATGTATACTTATTAATAAATTACCTTTGTGGCTAAATAACAATCATCGGGAGCTTCTTTCAAAAACCTTTCCACGTCATTCGATGTTAATATTTTCGACTTTTTACTGGTAAACCCGTCTGATTGTCGTTTTAAGAAAGAATTTAATTTTGGATATTGACTTATATCCACGTTGTTCCTTATTTTCAGCATACTTTTTATCATCGAAAACCTTGACCATAACGTAGAAGGTTTTAATTTTGCTGAGAGTTCGGAAAAGTATGCCAACATAACATTTTCTGAAAAACTATTTGCTTTTTTCTCTTCTTTCCACGTAATAAATTCATCGTATGTAGATATGTAGCGAATTTTTGACTTTTCCGGTAAAATATTCTCCGAAGCATTTTGTGCAATTATACTGAGTTCCGGTGGAGTTAATCCAAAAAAATTTAGGTCGAAATTACTCATTTTGTGTATAAAACAACTAAACTCGCAAAGAAAATTTCCAAAAATGGCGCCAACCGTAGAATGTAAGCAGTTTTTATTCCACCCATTCTGGTAGGCAAAGGGTTAAAAGCCCATACAGCCAAGTCTTTAGTACTTAGTATTTTTTATTATAAGAAATGAAATTGAAATTTAATGATATGAAATGAACTGAAACCTTACCTAACTCATTCAATCAATTAATTAATTCTGATATTGGACAAATTAGTATAGGTAGCTTCTTTTTAAAAACAAATAAACCTATTTGCATGAATCGCAAAAACTTCTATGATTTTTTTTAGTTAAAACTTCATGGTTGTTTTTTTTAATAGAAATAATTTTGACAGTTGGGAAAGAAAACGCACGAGTTCGGGAAAGGCAAAAAAAAAAGCACGAGTGTGAAATAGCCCAGATCCCGAACGCTACACGTCCCTGCAATACGCCACTTTTTGAGCAACTGTATTAAAAAGTCTATTTTGTGGTAGAATGATGTATTAAACAGGATTGTAGATTGATTTATTTATTATATCTGTGTATTTCAGATAAACGAGTTACCGAAGCCGTCGTACCTGCAATACAAGTTGCGCGACTTACGCATCGGCACGCTCAATGACATAGAGACGGCGACAGAGGAGACTTCCATCATTGAAGCCTTAAGGAAATTCGTCAACAGACGCGTGTCAGCGCTGCCGTTGATCGACAGCGAGGGGCGCCTTAAAGATATCTACGCCAAGTTTGATGTCATTGTAAGTCGGAAATACAGTTGTTTATAGGTTTTACAGTAGACGTTTATATACTTCTATCAAAAAAGCCCTAAGGAAGTTTGCGCAGTGTATATATCCACGTTGGCAAAGCAATTGGGCAAACACTAGTTAATTAATGAACTAGTAAGATTTTAGTTTGTCGCTCACGAAAATCACAAAAGGAAATGTGTGCTTGTTCGCACATTACAATGTCAAATTAAGACACTTAATACTACTAATACCTAGTTTGGTGAAATTTTAAGCAAAGCGATCTTCATCATTCACGATTTCTTTTTATTTATTTATTTATTTATTATGGCATCAAAATAATATAAAATAATCAGCCCGTCGATCTCAATGGATTGTAAAAGTGACGTCACAAGTTTATGGCGCTGGACATACAGAAAAGACGTAAGATGCAGACGGGGCGCGGACATACACACATCAAAAAAAGTTTGAGATCACTTGCAAAGGCTGATATATTTTCAAAATTTAACTGAATCAAGAGAAAATCTTTACGTTACTTATATCTTTTTTTATTTAAAAATACACTTTCTGATACTCTGATACACTACGTAAAAAAATAATAGTTATTTATTATACAAGAGTGGAAAGTTCCTTTTTAACCGCGTGCTCGATTTGGATGACCGAGCAAGCGAAGGATTCTAAAGTTGAATCACGAGCGCAGCGAGTGATTCTAAATTAGAATCCTGAGCGTCAGCGAGGGAAACAAACGAGCACAAGGTGAAAAATCTTTCCACTCGAGTGCAATACGTAACTTTTCATCCCACCTCAGCGAGGAAATGACAAAATGAAAAAGAAAACAATTTATAATGACAAAATATTTTTATTTCAATTAAAACACATTAAGATAATCTATAAATTGAAGAAAATAATAAGAAGTAGAAAATAATTAAGAAATATTAAATGTAACGTTGCTACAGTTACTTATGTTAAGTTTAATATTTTTGTTAGGTAATGTTATGTTGGTGTTTGTGAATTGTGCGCTGTTTTGTGGTAAACTACTCGTATCAGTAATTTTAAATAGTTGTGCCGATTCATTGGATTCTATTGGCGTAAATGTTGGCGAGAGAGGGCTATTGTTTCCAATCTTATGGGGGCTCATTTTAGATGTAGAAGGGCGAGACCAAGAATCTGACAGAGGTTCTTTCAGCGTTATGGCCTCCACGATACTATTACAAATTTTTGATTTACTTTGGATTGAATCCTCTATGTATCCCTCTACAACCGAATTAGACTTCCAGCCTCCATGGCGCTTAAGCGATAGAAGATCAGCCCCTGATTCGACCAAAAGTGTGGCTGAGGTTCTTCTAAAACAGTGACCGGTGTATAACGGGGGTTCTAAAAGTCCGAGAAAAGTTGCTATTTCTCGTGGAATACTGCCAATTTTATTCTGACCCATAGGTTGTCGGATACACTTTCCGTTGCGATATTGTAGAAAAAATCGTTCAATTGGGGTGTTAGAAGGACGTAAAGCTTGATATTTCTGAACAATGTTTACATATTCCTTGCGAATAACGAAGTTGCGGTCTTTTTTTGTCTTGGTATTTAGTACATTAATTAATAGCAATTCATCAGAATTATGAGAATATTTTGATACGTTATTGACATTAAGTAGTGTAAGTTCATTTGTTCGACATGCTCCGGTTATACCAATAATAAGAACAACCTGTAACAAAAGAAGTATTTATAATCGTAAATAAATTAATCAAATTAAAAATATTGTAAGTACTATGTACAATTTTATCAACAACAAAAAATTACACGTATTGACTTACTTTTGCCGCTAAATATACGGAATCAGGTGCTTCATTAATAAACTTTGCAATTTCAGATGCTGTGAAAACCTTCGATTTTTTTGGTTTATAACCAGATGAGGCTCTTTTTAAAAATGCCACTAATTTATGATAGGTGTCGATATGAACGTCTTTCTTCATCTTAATTGTTAATTTTAGCATTGAATACGTACTCCATAGCGTGCTTGCTTTCTTGGTCTCAGATAATTCTATAAAATATGCCAGCAAAACGTTTTCGGAGAAAGTTTTTGCTCCTTTAGCTAGTCGCCACATGTTAAATATATCGTACTGTTTCAAATACTTCTCTCGTGATTGCTGAGGGAGAAGGCTCATTTGCGCATTATTAACTGTTTCAGTTAACTCAGTTGGCGTTAGATAAACTTCATCGTCGCTAATGTCACTCATTTTAGTTGATTTTTTTGTACAGTTTTTAGGTTATGTTAATTATATTAAGCAATAAAACGTGAAAAACTAGAATGGCGCGAAGCACGCAAATAAAACAAAGAAACCAAGAAGGTTCCAAATTTAAATTTTTTCACAATTTAAAAAGTTCTAATCATAAATTTGGCACCATAGAGGTTACATTAAATAGGTTTAATGACGTTTTGAATTTACAATTATATTGAGTACTCATTATATGTGATGTTCTAAATTCAAATCTACTTTGCCGCTCAAGCGAATAAAATAGAATTTTCCAGCCAGATTTCGAAGCGCAAAATTACACTTTCCGAGGTGGTGGGATGAAAAAATAATTTTATTGCCATTGCCATATTGGGCATGCCAATCGTAATTACAACGTTGAATCCTGCTTGGCTATGGACCTATTTTAAACGCTTTAAATAGACTACAGCAGTACTAGAGATATCAACAAACTTTTAAGTTTGATTAGAAATATTGCTGTTACTTTTTTTTGCTATAACGATATTGTAAGACAACACGTGACTTTAAATGACATTTAATAATATATGAGATCTGTGACACTGGCATACTGGTGAATGACCTGGCGGTGGAGCAAAATCAATTATGCTGCCACTACATAAAAAAGGATCTACTTTATAGTGTGACAACTATACGATAGGAGTATAAGGTAAAGGGACTCATGAACAACTCTTAAACGTCCGTTAATTGATCGAAAAGTCTTACGGATTCAACACTCCTATCAACTTGGGCTTCATTGACTTCAGCAATCAGTGCCTTTCCATGTCTGTGATACGCTGAAGAGCCCTCTCGTAGGTGACGAACTGCTGGTCAAAACTGTTTATGGTATCGTTAAGACAATCTCGTTGTAAGAGCACTTCTCTATGTATGTAGGGCTTCCACATGGCTTGCATCCTATCTCCCATTCTATTTAACTTAATATTATACGGAGAATATATCATCAGACGAGCGCTTGAGAATAGGGATGACGACGAAAGTATATTTAGTGTGACATTTAGATTATAATTAGTAAGTAGGTGTAACTCAATCTAACCTACTGTTTCCAAGAAATGCGTTGACACACATACGCACAAAAAGAACACTGTTCGCTCCGTATACGTCGTTGATGTTGCGTGCCGCTTCTGCCGCTTTGCTGCGACGACGGTACTCAACTCCAATTTTTAACGTATCCATGATGACGAAAAGCAGGACGCTAACCATTAAACAAATGACTAACTTTCACAAGAGGTTTCCATATTTCAAAAATAATTATAATTTATTGTAATTATTATTATATATTATATAATAGACGTACTTCAACGTCGAAACCATTTTGAAGCGTCGTTCGGTCCGGGCTACAATTCTACAGTCGTTAGCACACACCTACCTATTCTATCCAAAGGGAAAGCCCGTGTCCCAGCAGTGGGGACAATGCGCTAATAGGCTGATGATTATGATTTTCGTCTACAGAATTTGGCTGCGGAAAAGACATACAACAATTTGGACGTGTCACTGAAGGCGGCGAACGAGCATCGCAACGACTGGTTCGAGGGCGTCCAGAAGTGCACCATGGATGAGACCCTGTTCGATGTCATGGAAAAGATAGTGCGGGCAGAGGTAAGTTGGTTCTGTGCCTAGTGATTTCAATATTTATATTATTACTAGCTGACTCGGCGAACGTCGTACCGCCCAAAAGTAATAATTTGCAATAAATTAAAATTGCGACTATAATTTGAGATTTAAACTATCCTATCTCTCAAGTTGGATCGAACTGCACATGGTGTGCGAATTTTATTATAATCGGTTCAGTGGTTTAGGAGTCCATTGAGGACAAACATTGTGACACGAGATTTATATATATTAAGATGTAAAAAGTACCTTTTTTTCTGAAGTAATTGTTTACTTTTCTTCAGTATTATCTCGGTGCTAGCGATTTACACCTAGATAATTCTGCAAATGCTATAGGTATTGTTAATGTATTTAGTTGTTGTTATTTATTAAAAGATTTGAGGTTGTATTTAATACACGCGTTTATGTATGATCCTTTACTAAGAATTTGCAGTACGTTAAATTGGTTCTGTAAGTTGCAGGTGGAGATATTATATTCGGCGCGAGCAGCGGCAAAACGTGGGTAGTTTTCGATGAGATGATCCAAGCTTTGGGTACTGGTGTTGTCACAAGGGTAGAAGTCATCTTGAGTAATGTGGAATCTTTTTAGATCTTCTTTATGATAACCGTGGTTTGTAAGCAATTGTGTTATGGCAAATCTAGGGGGCACTATTGAAAGGAATTTAATAAGATGATCAAGAGTAGGCGGGATTTTGTTTGTATATGTAGTGTTGGCGTAGTGGTCTTGGGCGGCGGTGTGGAGATTTGAGGACTTTTTATATTTGATGTGGGAGATGGTATTGGAATAATAGTCGGGGTTTGAATGGGAGTTGGCTGCGGCCTTATCTGCAGAGTCAGCGGCTGCGTTGACAAAGAAATTGATCTTGAGTGGTAATTTCTGAGATTTCGATGCCAGTTCTTATGCAAGAGACGTGGTGATGTGGGAGAGACTCTATAGGTATTGGAGTTTCGATTGGAATGTCATCAGGGAGGTATGGGGAATTGTGTGTTAATTTAAATTTTGCGACTTCTGCGATTGCTAGTACATTGCCAGGTTAGGGAGTGAGTTGGGCTATGGATATTGCGGCTGCGGTGTTAATATTTCGAAAACCTTGGATGATTTTGATGGAGATGAGGCGTTGAAATGATAGTAGCTCTTTACGTATTGATTTATACTTGATGGCTTTGGACCAGATGCCAGCTGCGTAACTGATGATGGCTAAGATGAATTGATTATAGATAGTTCGGATGTTTTTGGAATGAATACCCGAAGTGGGGCGGGTAAAGATAATTAATTTGTTTAGGATCTTTTTGGCCTTGTCCAGTACGTGGTGGCATGCTTGATGAACTCGAGATTAGAGTCTATGATAACACCAAAGTATTTGATTTCGTCGGTAAATTAAGTTTGGTTTTGTATGGAGGTGGGGCATGTTTTGGCTTTGTTAGAGAAAGAGATTAGGTTGGTTTTATCTGGACCAAACTCTAGTTTGAAGTTGGATTCCCAGCCGGTGATGCGTTCTAGTGTTTGATTGGTTAAGTTTTGTAATACTTTTGTATCGGAGGAATGACATATGAGAAGAATATCATCAGCGCGAGCCTAAACGTGGCATCCGCTGGGGAGTTTTGTGTTAGCACGTCGTCCAGGATCAAGTTCCAGAGAATAGGGACGCATACAGATCCCGGCACGCAGCCGCGGGTGCTAGTTGTACTGGGATTACAGTTAGTGAACTTAATTCCGACTTTTCGGTCTTACATATAACTGAGCAGCAGGTGGTAGATATTTTTCGGAAATGTGGTAGCCTGGAGTCGTTGGAAGATCGCTGGCCACCAGACTCGGTCAAAGGCCGATCTGATGTCCTGCGATATAATAATAACTTGTTTTTAGCATTTTTATGATTTTAAGGGCGTCGTAAATGGCGCTGATGGTGAAGCTTCGGTGTTTAAAACCGTATTGTTTTTCGGATGAGTGTTTGTTTTTATAGACTTGGTAAATAAGTCTATTAGTGATTATCTCTTCAAAAAGTTTGCCGAAGTCGTTGATAAGTCCGATGGGTCTAAAGGAAGTTAGGTCACTATAGTTGGTTTTCCCCGGTTTCGGGATGATTTTGGCGAATGCCGAATTCCAATAGGTGGGAAAATGTTGGATTTGACGGCATCTATTAAGAAGTGGGGTTACATGTGGGAAATTCTGTGCAAATAATAAGCAGTTATCTGAAGTTTGATAGTCAGTATCTGGTGCTTTTTTAGGGTTCAGGAGCATTACTCTCTTTCTTCGAAACGAAATTTCGGTAAAGAAACGAATTTTAAACGAAATTGAACACCACCAAACCACTGACTCTCATTTCATTTTCGAATAGGCACATAAAGTTCGGAATCCTAAACAGTTTTCGTGAACGAATGGAATGAGTCATGTTTGTGAGTTCTTTTTAACTCCCTCTTTTGACATTAGGTTTTTTACTTAGAAAAAAATATAGGTACAAACAAGACAACAAGGTGAAAGAACCGTCTTTGACAGTGTCAGCCGACTAATTTGTAGAGTTGATACAATCTATTGTATGTCAACCTTGGAATTACAATAAATAATAAAAAAATGGTTTATTTGTTAATTTAACATGCCAAAAATGTTCTTCGAGCTAAGCAGCCTTGATTAAAAATACTCTTGCATTTAAGGCATTTAAAACAAAAATCCCAAAACGAAAATGAAAAGACAACACTTTTCATTTCGTCAATTTGAGGTTATAATTTCGCACAATTATCTGCCAAATTCAACTTTTTGTTCGGAAGTTTTGTGAATTAGAGTAGGTTTGGAAAATTTAATTGGCAAACTATTTTTGGACGAACAAATTTTCGAAATGAAAAAGAAACAGAGTAAGGAACGTGCCAAATTTCGATCGAAATTTCGTTTTTCGTTGAAATAGAGTTGACCTCCAGTTGCTTTAGTAATTCGATTATTTCGGATTCGGAATGGGTCATACATTCTCTTTCTTTGTTTTCCTTTGCAGAATTCCTTAAACTCTGCGGAATCAGAGCGGAAAGCATCTGAGTACTTTTTCTTCCTCTAGTGGTAGTCATTTTTTGTTTAGTTTTGATAGTTTGTGGTGAATTTTAACAACTTCCTTTTTTAGAGATTCTAGTTCGTTAGTCCACCCTATGGTGGACACCATGTTGTTTTTTGGTGTTTTTTTTTTTGAACAAACTGAGAAGGTTTTTTGGAATATTTGGGTGATTTGGGTTACACGTATGTCGATTTCTGAGTGGTTATTTAATACGGTGATGTTGACGTTGGGCAGCTTAGATGCGATTAATTCGATGAATTTTTTGGTAGATCCTTCGTTGTTTATATTATTTGTATTTTATTTAAAGCTAAAAAGGTTGAGATTTTTAGCAGTATGGTGAGATTTAGTATGGAGATCGAAGGGTATGAGGCTGTGGTCAGGTTTAGGGCATGTGTCTGTTTCTATTGACCAGTTTGCTATGAGTTTGGTGTTGTTTGGTAGTGTGAGATCTATGAATTGATTGTGCCAAGTTGATTATGCGTGGTTGTATGAAAGGTGGGAGTGTAGGTTTTACTATGGAGTTCAAGGTTATTGGGGATTATCATGTCATATGTGGCCTCTGGGATTATTTGACTGTGATCCCCAGAGAGTGTGCCATCCATTCAAGTCACCACATAATTATGTTGTGTGTGAAGTTAGGGTATTTTATTGTTTAGTTTAACAATGCCGAGGTTGGGTGAAGAATAACGGAATTTATTCCCAGAGTTAAAAATTTGTTGTCTATGATTAAAATGGCTGCTTTGAAGGGGTCAGGGTGATTAGGTCCGTGAAATTGGTAGATAGTGTAACCAAGTATTATCTTTACGGTGGAGTTTTTACCGATATAAGGTTCGGTGATAAAAGTGAAATCATGTTTAGAGGAGTTTAATAAAGTTGTGAGATCGTTTTGGGCGTTTCTGCCACGTCTAAGATTAATTTGGGAGCCTTTGAGTGTATGCAAAGAAGTCGTAGTCTATACGTTCGATTAATTTTATTTGATAGTTTTTCATGGTGGGGCAGTTTGCAGATGTAGCAGAATGTGAAGTGTTAGTTGTTTGATTAGTTTTAGTACAGAATACGAGACAGACATTTGGACGCTTTAAGTGATATCGGTTTTCTTTTGACAATATTTGTCAATGTGTCCCTCGGCTGCATTCATCCGTGACTACGCCTGCTTTTTCTAAAATTTTTAATGAGCTCAGAAGTTTATTTTCAATTTAAATGTAAGCTCATAATATATAATGAACAGATAGTATTATATTTGTCTGAACTGTAGGTGAATGAAACAGGCTATTTTTTGTTAACCCCCGTATTCTGCTTCTTCTTCTAGATTCCCTTATACCTGTTATTATTTCTCACTCATTGGGTTATCTAAAAGAAATCTAATATAGATTGTTTTGTTTTTTAGTTGTCTTTTAAGATTTTTGTGTTTTAGTTTTTGTTCTTATAATGTTACTAGTGTGTTCCCGCTACTTCGTCTGCGTGGAAAAATTGGTTTCCCATACTAACTGCTACCCCCCCCCCCCCCTTATCACCCTCTTAAATTATGATTTCTTGGATATTAACTATCTATGTTGTTTCCCTCGACTCAAACTATCTATATATTTAATTTCATTATAATCGAATCTACGGTTTAAGTATGAAAAGCTATAGTAAAGTTATAGTATGAAAAGTGTGTGCCTGACAGACACACTTTCGCATTTAAAATATTAGTATGGATGTAACCACAACGTTTTTCTACACAGGTCCATCGTCTGGTGGTCGTTGATGAAGAAGATAAAGTGATCGGCATCATATCTCTGTCAGACTTGCTCATGTACCTCGTGTTAAGGCCCACCGGGGAATGCGGCGGAGCCAGTTTACGAAACGAAGGAACCACAGAGGAAAAGGGCGAATCGCCCGCCGCTGAACAAAACGATCAAGTCGGACTAGCTGAAGAACAAGTCGAAGCAGCCGAAGAACAAATCGAAGACAAAGACACACAACTTGAAGTCAGAGACACACAAGTTGAAGTCAGTGACGACAAAGTTGAAGACAGTGACTGACTGTAAATGACACTGAACTATTGATAAATAAAATTAATGAACCTAATTGTTATTCCTCTGCATGTAAGTAGTTTATATCCTCGACGCGTACCAGGCTACTGGACAGATAGTGTAAGTGTGAAATGGTACGAAAAAAAATTTGGAAAGGAGTAATAAAATATTATTGGTGGTGTAAATTTTTACGTAAAATACGTAAGTGTTTGTTAGTTGAACTCTTGTTATCTTTTATTTTTGTAATAAGAGCATATTACTGATTTTGTAGTTTACAATGTCTGTCTAATAGTATAGTGGTATCTAAGGATTTTGTCGTAGTTAGTGCGCTGCGCGTGAGCACGCTCACATGTTTTAAATACAAGACGGTTGTGATATGTTTCAGTGTTTTCTTATGGCTCACACACTCACATTGTTTTGATAAAACCTAGGGCTCCGTAACTTATTTGAACACAATATTTCTGGAGATAGTCTGTGGTTTCTTAATAGTTTATTGCAGAAGTATTTTATTAAGAGGGTTTTTGAAAACACAAGTCGTATAATGAACCCTTTTCACGATATAAAAGATGATTTGATGTACTTCTTCTTTAGAGATGTCATATTTTTACCCATTTTATTTCGCGTTAAGAGCTCATCCTAAGGTCAAGTGAGCTCGAGCCATATGCGTGAACTCTTGTTTGTCTTGTCTTGTAAAATAAAAAAGTTTTGATAACAGTTTTTAAATTCCACTTTTGAGATATGTACTTCTATACGCGTATTCCATAATGTTTGTTTATTGTGAATCAGATGTGTAATATTGTACTGTTTTTTATTATTATTATTTTGTCTCATGTATATCAGTGGAGGCCGAACGTACTTATTTTTATCATCGATGAATAGGTTTGGTTGCGTTTGGTCTTACTAATGTATTTTAATATGAACGCAACGTGCGCTACTCACACTCTAGGTACATGTCTTTTATAACATTGTTTTAAGGTCTAGAATAGGTCATTTCTCACATTTCGGCCTCCACAATTATTATTGTATTTTGATACAAGTGCTGAGCTGTATTTAACTTATATTTATCTAAGTAGACATCTACCCAAATGCAGAATGGAATTTAATATTCATAGATTGAATATTCGAAGAACTAATGATTTCGTTATTGCATTGGAACTATAGTGGTATGCGTGAAGTCATGTTTGCTGTTTAAACATTTGGAAGTTTCAGTAAGCTCTGCTCTTGAGATTAGCGAGACAATTAGTTGATAAATTATCATTTGATTTATGATAAGTGACGGGTTTTTAAAGTTTTATAAATTTTAATATAGAAATAGTCTATTCGCGACAGTAGGTTTTTTTCGCTCTGACACTTGGTAAGAACGTTTTTGACTTCTGAAATTAGTGAACAGAACTTATTGCCGGCGAACGGCAATGGAATCAACACCCGTTTCCTCATTTTACAAGAGCTAATCTAAAATGTTTACCATCACAACTAATATGTTAAAATACGTTGCAGAAACAAGAGATGCGCTAAGTGAGCTGATTGCAAAAAGACACTTACTTGACGAGATGCGATAATATAACTGTTTGTACTTAAATTTTATTGTAGATAACTTGAAATCGCTGCATTTAATTTTTCTCATTTGGTATTAAAGTTTCACTGTTACACTTCAACCTTACTTCATATTTGCAGTTTTGTTAAATATATTTTGGATGTTATAAATTTATGGATACATGGGAGGATGGTTTATTGATGTAATATACGATTATTGTCTTATATCTCATCATTTATCCCATCGTTCACACATGCAACTAAAAGCTGAGTTGTAAAGATCTGATCAGTAGTTATATGAATTTTGCAACTGATGTTTGAGTCATGCAGATTATAATACTTTATAATAGTCGAGACGATCTTTGTTCTAATGCCAAGTATTTTAGTGTCTTTTTGTTAACAGACTTATTCAAAACGCTTACTTGTGTTTATAACACCAAGCGATTTTCAGCCGAACTCAACCTGCCTTATAAAATAACAAATAATGCCCTAATTTGAATCAGTCAAACTGACGTTTCCGCAGCAGCACCTTTTTGTATTGCTGATTTTTTTTCATGGGCCAGTACCTGACTATTCTGTTTTCTGGTTACGAACTTAAATATAATTAAGATAATAATTATCTTGTTTAAGTTAAGTCATATACCTTAATGAGCTAACTTAGCAAAATGTGATTACTTGCTCTAATTAGTGGCTGTACTCCATCCTAGAGCAGCCAGTGGACCAAACGTAGAAATTAATTTAAGACAGCATCATTGTGAATGCTATTGATAATTCTATGAAAAGTTTATAAACTATCTCGCCCTAGTTATATGTATATTTAAGTAAAACATAAAATAGGGTATAGTGATTTTACCGTTTGGTTTCGACTGATTTAGATTGGCAGAGCTGAAAATCGGGTAGTGTAATAAACGCTTATCGGACAAATATTCAATTTCTTTTATTTGAGATCTTTTATATAGGCTTTTATTATGAATGTCGCTGTTATATCATCATTTCATGTCATTTAAAAAAAAATACTTTGAAACAGCTTCCACTAGAAAAGATCTCGAGCAAATTAATTCCCGCCTTTCATAGAAAAAACCGAATTATTTAGTTGGGCTGAACGGAGATATATGTTTTTATCTCCCAGCCTAAATAATATTTTTCCGTGGAAGCGTTATAAAGAGTATTTTCATCGTTGCATGTTAATTGACTTCCGTAATGTTAGGGGCGGGAGTTAAAAATGTTTGAATGTTCGTCCGCGGCTCTTGTGGAACGCTACGATTTGACGCTCACGTGTCCCGCAAGTATTATAGTGTGTTATTAATTTATGAGTAGAGTTAGCGAATAACGCCTTTTATTATGTTATACATGTTGTGTTAAAAAGAATAAATTCTAATAACAGTGGTAATATTTAGGTGCGTGTAGTTTGGATGAAATTTATTATAAATCTTGAAAGGTATCATCATTATATTGTATTCTTAAGCATTCATTCGGTAATACTATTTATCCATCCAGTTTTAGAGTCGTTTGTTAAGAAGCATACATTGTTGAAAATTTTTAGAGGATAATATTAGTCTACTGTTGTCTGGGTGGATAAGTATGTCAGTTTCGTTTAGTTTAATGTGTTCAATGTTAATCAGATATAAAAACGCACACGTACGACATCCACAGTCATGAATAAAATAGTTTGGTTCCATCGATTTATTTGTTTTCATTATACCTATATTACCTTTGTTTTAATGCGACGCAAAAAAATATGCGACATTTATATAACCCGAGCAGATAAAGAAAAGATCTGAGAATGGCGATGGGTACTTATGTTACGTTGGCAAAACAAGTTCGCAAAAATCGATTTTTATTTTTCCTACTGACTTTTTTTGTTATTAATCAAAATTAATATGAGGAAAGATTTGATTGTTTGTTTGTATTGAATAGTCTCCGAAACTACTGGACCGATTTGAAAAAAATACACATTTGGAATGCTACATTATCCCTGATGAACACAGGCTATAGAGTATTTTCAAAAAAGTTAGGGCTCCATATGATTTTTTTTTATAACGAGGTAGGCAAATGACTCTACCCCACCTGATGTTAAGTGGTGATAAATTTCCAACCGCGAAAGCTGATTCAGCAGTAATAAACTGCTACAACCAACCATTCTCACCTTGCCGGTCTGCAAAAATGCTTCTTCACGCAGATTGTAGGAAGGAGGGAACACGTGCGCGAGCAATGAATTCCACTTACGAATAGTACGATAACCTAACCTAACCTAATACCTCGTTTAGACTATGCCCATGCCGCTGCCCCTCGCGTTGCCGGCAATTATTCCCTAAATATTGCTGCGACATGATTGAGAGAAGTATGTGTTTACATACTGCCCTACCTCTCACTTCGCTTCAGAGTTTCGGCAATGGCAGACGTCGAAGTAATAACAGCGGCCGAGCTGTGTCTTTTTGCAATCCATAATTATGTTCCTAATTTAGATAATTAATAATTTTAATATAAATAAATTAATAAATATAAGTTATAATTTTTATTATTTTAAAGCATGTAACTGCTTTATGTTTAAATCTAAAGAAAATATAACAAGAAAAAATTCCGCAACGCGGACCAGGCAGCAGACGGGACTCGAACCCGCACCCTTCGCAAAAAAATTTCTAGTTATATTTTCTTTAGATTTAAACATCAAGCAGTTACATGCTTTAAAAAAATAAAAAATATAACTATAATTGCTATTTCTTCTTTCAAATGTTTAATACTTGTAAAAGTATTCATTTGACATTGTGTGGTTTACCTATAATGCGAAGAGATGGCTAGAGGAATTTCACGCGGTCCGTGAGGGCCGCGGTAGCATAATTGGTTAGTGCATTCGCCCGGATTGCGAAGGGTGCGGGTTAGAGTCCCGTCTGCTGCCTATTTATCTAATTATTAATCATATTCAATTAATTAATATTTTTTAATTTGACGTCTTTCTCCACCAAGCGCGTGGCGGGCGCGAACTAAGCGACGCGCAGAGTGTGAACACGCATTGCCACTCGCGCTGCCGGTCCTTTGACTTCCGCACAAAAAAACGCTCTTTTGGGGAGCGCCAGGCAGCGCGAGTGGCAATGGCAGTGGCATGACGAGTATCGCGTTTAGATACTCCCTCCTTACTCGCGCTGCATGTAAACGAGGTATAAGAACTAACAATCATGAAATATTATTTTCTAGGTTCGAATTCGTATGTAAATGACTGTAAAAACAAAGATTATTGACGGACACTTCTGAGAACTTAAATTATTAGGAAAACTTAACTATTTTTGAGGTTATGTTTAATATTCAATGAAACATAGGACAACATATGAACTTAGTATGAAGTGAATTAATATTACAACTAATTCATTTTATTAGGTGCGATTTTAAGAATAACTATTAGGAAAAACTTAGTTCGGTAGGAATCATGAATAAAATAGAAATTGTAAGTAGTTTTGCTTCTTATTTATTGAGTATTTTTCACATTTTTTTTTTATAGATACGCCCGACAAATGACTCCACCCCACCTGATGTTAAGTGAAGGTGAAGTCCAGACATGAAGACAGCTGATACAGCAGTTTTACCTGCCACACCAGCCATCCTCACCCTGCCGGCCTGCATGTTGCTTCTTCACGCCTCTTTTAAAGGATCCCAGGTTGTAAGAGGGAGGGAACACGTGAGCGGGCAGAGCATTCCATTTACGGATAGTGCGACAAAGAAATTAGTCACCAAAGGACATTGCTCGTTCCCCATACATTGAATGCCCTAGAACGCCCAGCAATGAGAAAATGCTAGTTGTGTTCGGAATCTTTCATAAACTCTAAATAAGCATTTGTTGAGATACGGACAACTTGAGGAACCGTGGCCTACTACAGAATGTATTCGATTTTGAGGTTATAATTATTATACTTAATCATAAAAGATGTACACTTTATATATTCTGAATACATTAAGTGTTTACCTCTATGTAAGCACTCAAATAATATGCATTAAATAAACATAAAATGCAATTAATTATAAAAATAATAAATGCTTATATTCATATTGATTTATGAGTGTTGTCAGTTGGCACCTATGATACCTATACCTACCTGTAGTAAGTAATGATAGATTTCTTTTCAAATGAAATGTTCAGTCTTTCCATTTACCTGTTTCTATATTTTGCTATCGGTAATTAGGTATGTACCTGGTTATCATTATGATTTTCATAAAAATAAACAGATACTACATGGGATGGGAGTATAAACTATCTTTAGATAATTTCAGAAATAATCTTTTTATAAATATAATATAAATACTAGTAATAAGTATTATTAACTAAGGTACTATTTTTATGGTGATAAATACCTATGGTCGCCTATATTGCATTACTAAGGTAAACAATATTGGCACAACTTTTTAACAGAATCACCCATTTAATAATAAAATATTAACGAAGCCAATAAACTATTAAAATAAATTGTTATTAAAGACTGAAACCTATTGAATCCAGTTATCAGTTGATTTTTAATGCTGTATTTTCAATAAAAAGGAGTGCCAAGTTGGATGAACAGACTGTAGTATCTAGTAACAGAACTTTTATTTTTTAAACAGATTGTCCGTTTACTATGATAAATTGTTAATAAGTTAAAAAAATAATAGAAAAATAATAGTGAAGGACATTCTTTTGGGCATGCTAGGGCCGATTTCGTCGATGTCCTTTCTTTGTACGCGTTGGAATTGTGGCCACAGTTAGACGGTGACAACGTAGGCCAGCGCGCGTGGTCCTCTGAAGGAAAGGAGAAGGTGAGATAATAACTGATAATAACTGAAAGAGAGAATAACTCCTCAGAACACTCGCCGTGGTACAGACGATAGAACGCGCTTAGTGACGCCACGTCACGGCGTAATTGAAGAGGCTCAAGGTGTTTAGTCACCTCCTCATCGCCTATGATGCGGATCGCGCGCCGCTGTAACCTCTCCAAAGCATCAAGCAAGTACTTGGCGGAGCCATCCCAGAGGTGCGAGCAATATTCCACGCAGGACCGCACTTGCGTTTTGTACAACAAGCACAGTTGATCGGGCGTGAAAAAACGCCGCACCTTGTTCAGGACTCCGAGTTTGCGTGAAGCTGTTTTGATCACGGTTTCGATGTAGTTCTTTGGATTCAGGTTTGAGCGAACTTCGATACCGAGCATGGAAATGTTGCTCTGTAGCGGTAGTGTTGTGCCCTGAAGAGAGGGAAGTGGAAGGAATGGCGATGTTTGTGCCGTGAAAGTGCAAGCCTGAGTTTTCTTGGCATTGAACTCAACCAGGTACCCCATTCGGAAATGTGGTCCATAGCCTGATTGAGTTCAATGACAAGATTCTCCCGTTTCTCCTTGGTTACCGCCAGCCCAGCCGCTGCTTGTCCGAGATACCCGGCATGCACTGTACTATCGTCTGCATAGCAATGAATATTCCCAAGAGGAATTAAGTCATTGATATGCAGCAGAAAGAGAGTGGGGGATAGGACGGAGCCCTGGGGAACGTCGGCATTCACTGACATGAACCGCGAACTGCTACCATCCGTAAGGACACGAATTCTACGCTCATGCAGGAAGTCAGCTACCCAAGAACAGAACTGGGCTGGCAGACCGTATGCCGGAAGCTTGGAGAGAAGGCTTTTGTGCCATACCCTGTCGAACGCCTTGGCAATGTCAAGGCTGATAGCCAACGACTCGCCACGCTTGTCGATAGCCTCACACCAGATATGAGTTAAGTACGCTTGAAGATCACACGTCGATCGTGTCGGTCTAAAACCATATTGACGATCATTAATCAGGGAGTAATCCTCTAGGTAGCGGGTCAGATGGTTATTAAGGACCTTTTCTAGAACTTTACATAAAACTGAGGTGACTGCTATTGGCCGGTATTTTGCCGGGTCTGAGCGATCCCCTTTTTTGGGCACCGGTTGCACATTAGCATCTCTCCAAGTCTCCGGCACACGCCCCAAAGAATACGAGCATTGGTACAAGTGCGTGAGCACGGGAAACAACTCCGTTGCACATTTTTTAAGTACTACTGCTGGGATGCCATCAGGTCCACTAGCTTTCCGGACGTCGAGTTATTGCAATTCGGCACGAACCTCGCGCTGCCTGATTTTAATATCAGGCATCGTTGTGTCACAGTGAGGTAATGATGGTGGCAGTGCATTGCAATCATCGATTCGGGAGTTAGCTGCAAAGTGTTTTGCCAGTAAATCGGCTTTCTCCTGCGGCTTATGGGCTAGTGTTCCGTCTGGGCATCTCAGAGGTGGCAGCGAGGGCTCGCAGAAGTTTTTTTGCACGGCCTTGGCCAGACGCCAGTAGCTACGGGAGCCCGTAGGATGCGTCATAAGTTCCTGGCCAACACGTGCAACGCGCTGGGCATCCGCTCTGATGTAAGCCTTCTTACAGGCCTTGGAAGCAAAATTGTAGGCTGCTTTGAGTGAATCGACCTCGGGATCCTTGAGAGCGCGGCCTCTGATCCAAGCACGATATGCCGCTTGCTTACCCGAAGCAGCTTCAGCACACTTCAGAAGCAGCTCACCCGAAGCAGCTTCAGTGATTGAACCAGAGGTTACGTGTGCCCTTACTGATGAGATCAGAATGAGGAATATAGTATTCCATATCCATTATAATCTCCTCAGTAATGGCAACGGCACTGGCCGATAGGTCCCTGTCACTGA